GTCAGTGTGTTCTGCTCATGCGCGCTAGGGGGCACATGCAAGCAGAAAACAAAGCCGTACATTTACGGCGCCCCGCTGATAGGAGCTTACTGTCCGTCCGTATATTTACAACAGGCGGATGGCAAGTGGTTACATAAGTCTAAGATATTAAATTTTCTCTTTCCCCAAATGAAGTGCAACCCCTTAAATCGTCTTTCCCTTTTCAGTGGCAGCCGCACAGCATGAAATATCTGGGGACATGTTTTACATCCACCTATTCTGACCTGTATGCCTCAAATTACATAGCGCTACTTAACAGTATTAAGACTGACCTGACTCTTTGGCATAATGATAGACCCTTTCTTTCCTGGATGGGTCGTACTAGCTCAGTTAAATTGAATGTCTTACCTCTTTCAGACCCTTCCTTTTTCCTTACCCTCGGCCTATTTTACAACCCTTCGTAAGTTAGTTACTAATTTTTTCTGGCATAGAACCAGGGCAAGGTTCTCCCATTGGGTTCTTACTAAACTATTGCCCAATGGTATGCACTTGTCCATTGGTGTTCATTGTTAGACAAACATTTGTCCCATTTACGTATCGTACAGTAAATGATGCAGCTTATCGTACAGTAAAAGTTTGCCTTTTTGAAATTTAGCATTCTTGTCAAACCACCATGCTTCTCTTTTCTGTAGCCAGCTTAAAATGTAATCACCCTGTGATCACCATTACCCGATTTTTCCCGAGTTGCTATGTCTGCAACTAGGTCTGCGTTATTTGAAATTATTTAATCTAGTATAGTAATTATCCTTGTTGGCACTTCCACCATCTGTTCCAGCAACTTGTCCTGCAACAAGTTTAGGAAACTGTAATCCTTGATAGAGTGAGCAGTTCCCTTAGACCAGTCAATATTAGGATAATTAGGTCACACATTACAATGTTTCCTCGTCTCCCAGCCATTTCAGTTTGTGAATGGAGTTGAGTCTCCTCTTCTTCCTTTATATTGGAGTATAAACAAACAACTACAATCAATTTACAGCAGGTCGTCTCATTTGTGCAGATTTTGATTACATGCATACTCCCCCTTCAACTGACCCCCTGTCACTCCTAAACAGGTTGTACTCTTGTATATTACTTGTCCAGTCATGTGAGCTGTCCAGCCAGGTTTCTGTTATTTTCACTAAAAGGACTTCAACTCTCATAGGGGCTGAACAACAGTGAGTGACTAGCTGAATGCCGGCGAGCGGCATTAGGCTTGGCTTTTCTGCTCGGTACCTCTGTGGTACTGAGCAGAATAGAAAATCAATGAAAAAAAAGTTTTTAAAAAAATTGAAAAAAGATTTTTAAAATGTAAATAAAGATTAAATGTAAAAGAAAAAACAATTGGGCGGAGCTAGCAGTGACAGCTAGCTCTGCCCAACTGTTTCCTATTGGCCAGCACCTGCTAGAGTCTTCTAGCAGATCCCGGCCAATTAATAACAACTGGGCGGTTGTCATTGTTTAACCACTTGAAGTCCGGGGTGTTAAACCCCCTTCCCATCCAGGCCATTTTTCATTATTCAGCGCTTCAGTACTTTGACTGACGTTTATTCCATCATACAACGCTGTACTGAAATGAATTTTATACAATTTTTGGGGGACAAATAGAGCTTTCTTTTGATGGTATTTAATCGCCACTGGGGGTTTTATTTTTTAATATATTAAGGAAAAAATATCAAAATGTAAAAAAAAAAACAGTTTCCCCTATATCAGGGGTGCCCACAAGGTCGATCGCGTAGCGATCACTGGTAGATCGCCATGTCCTCTCCTCCAGCCGCTTCTCTGGATCCCCACAAATGATAAAACATTTATTATTGCCCAATTTTTTTGGTATAATATAAGAGACGGGGTCACGTCGGGTAAATAGACACCAAACATGTCAAGCCTTAAAATTGCGCGTGCGAAACTTCAAAAAACTACAATACCCAAGATTGGCCATTGGTGATGCTTTTACCGCTCATCAGTTAAGTGTTATCAGTGTTTGAAGGCCCTAAAATTATTGCTCTCCCTCCGACGTTCGCGACGATATGTAACGTGTAGCGCAATTATCGATTTCCCGTGCTGGCGCATCGAACGCGTATTTACGTTTATATGTGCGTAAACGTGGTGGTGGGGGACTTAAAAATGTTTGGGGGTTTTTTTCTACATGTGACTTATTTTTTTTTTTCACTTATTGTTATTGCTATTACATAGGTGGATAACAATCCCCCTCTATAATAACAAAGGCACACTGACAGGTCCTCTTTATGGAGGTCTTGGAGACCCCTAATGTCACCTGGGGACCCCAAAAGAAGCTGATGAAGCACAGATCTGCTTCATCAGCTTCTTCTCTCTGGCTATAGCAGCCAGATGACTGACAGGTGAATGCGGAAGTGATGTAATACACATTACTTCCACATTCACAGCACGGAGGGAGGTCAGTAAGGAGGAAGATGCTGACCTCCCTCCCATCTTACCTCCTGACGCCCTCCCGGGCCGCAGATGGGGCAGCGGATCCCGGGATTGAAGGTGAGGAGTCAGGAGGGGGGGGCAGCAGTGGAATTCGAGCGGGGGAGGGGGGGCGCGCAGCCAAGACAGCCCATACATACAATCGGCAGGCTATAGAGCCGCCGATCGTATGTATGTGAAACAGCCGGTAACGGCTGTAATGAACCGGCCTTTTTTTTCTGCCCGTGCGTGCTCACTAGAGGGCGCGCGAGCAGAAAGAAAAAGCCGTCTGGAGACGGCAACCCGCCAATGCCACTGTGCCGTCCGTCCGTTTTTTCACAACGGGCGGACGGCAACAGGTTAATGACAGTTCAGCGTCCCCAGGTCATTTGGGGACGCTGATCTGACAGTACAACTGGTCCGCCCAGCTGTCATTTGCGAGGCGTGCGGCTGGCCTTCGGCAGCTGTACGGGCTATAGTGAATAGTCCATACAGCAGCCCTATGGTTCAACTGAACCGATGGCCTCCCGCAACCGAAGTTAGCCGAAGTATCAGCCGAAGCTACAGCTGGATCCTTCAGCAGCTTTGTGATAAGGCTCCTAAGTCTAAGTCCTCCCTGGGTAGCATAAGTTCAAGCTCCTGTAATTTGTTTAGACTTCTAGCAATCATGTACATACATTTTAGTTTGGTGCTAGTGTTATGTTTTATTTTTACTCATTCCTGAAGCGCAACTAATTGCTGTATCTGACCATGGTGCGTTTAGTTCATCACTAAGTTGACTGGACTGAGCCCTCTTTCTACCCTAATATTACACCCCTCTATAATAAGTGCCCCCGTAACCCCTTTTTTCACTGTTTTATTTTACCAAATTTTTGACCACATTTTACCTTACTTATC